ATGTTATTTTATTTTTCTAGCTTTAAAATTAAAAAATGTGTTTTGAGTGACCCAAAACATCTACTTTGGAACACATGTTTGTAATTGTTTATGTTTTTCATAAATATATCTTAATCATAATTTTAAATTTTGAGTTTTTAATTTTTTCTCGAGAAAAATAATATAGTGCCTAAAAATGGTTAGCAATGTTGGAACTCACACTTATATTATAAAGTGACGTTCATAGGAATTTAATAACAAATGTATATGCTAGGTTGGTTGGTTTATGTTTTATGTTTCTATGCTTGATGACCTGACTTTGAATTTTTCCATAGATATTTTCTTGCATAATTTTCTTTTTATTTGTCTAATAATAAAAACAGGGTTTAGCAATAACACACACCTTACCTAGTTGATTTAACTTCGATTCACAAGGCAATAACTCAATAAAAGAAATATAAATATTAATTATAAGAGGTAAAATTGTTTCCCAATTTTAGGATATATCATTTTCTTACATACTGACTATAATTTATATTCACCTTAATCAAATATTAAATTATTTCCACATTTTAGAATACAGTATTTCTTAAAATGAAAAGTAAAACGACTTTAAATGAATATATTATTGTTATTATTTTTAAATAACTATAATAACTTCTTTTTAAGTAATTTTTTAATCCGTATCTTTTCTATCATTTTTTAAGTAAGTTTTTAACCCATAACTTTTCTACCATAGATAACCACCCCAAAATGTTGATAAAAATTATTTCGTTTCATATCTTACAAATAATCTATATAGTTGATTAAGTCTTATAATTATTATAAAACATTCTTCTAAAGTCATTATAACAACAAAATGACATAATTTTAATTTAAATAATCAACATGGTTGAGACTAAAGAGATCTAAGTTGTCAAAGGATAGGTGGTTGAGGCGTCAATTTTGATGTGGTTAGGTTAATTTAGAAAAACCCTAGAATAATTTCTTTTCAATTCAATTGTCACAAGAAACCCCCAAATTACCCACTAAAATTCAACACAAAACCCCTTTTTATCTGCAATGTCGATCGTTATTCCGAAATTGGTTTAAAGCTCTTGTCATCATTCGATTCGTTATCTTCTTTTTAGCCCTTTTTCTAACAGACGCTTCTTCAACCATACATACAGTCTTATTATTTTGGTAAAAGCTTTCCAGAACTTTTCAAATGCCAGCATTTATGAAGTTCTTCGCACTCCTTAGGTCGCTTTCCTTCAAGTCTTCATCAACAATTTAAGGCCACCAAAGCCATCCATATTATGTTAGATGTACCTGATAAATGTATTCCTTCGTCTTTCAGCAGTTCAAAGCGTCCCCATTTTTTTATATTTAATGGGGTACGATTAAGGTTGCTCTACGAACAATCCGAATACGAATTTCACAGCTTTTCTGATGAAATCTGAGTTTTACTCATATCGCTGGATTCATCTCGTCTTCTTCTGCTTGGATTGATGCTTATTTTCCCCACTTTGCATCGGTAAGTGTTCGATATCTTTGAGAGTAATTTTGCTGCCAAAAACAGCAGTGTTAGGGATTGAGGAAGACTAATACATGGAGCTCTTTGTTTTGAATCTCTTTTTCTTGTTATAATCGCCCATGGTTTTCAATCGTTTTAGTGCTTCAATCTTCTTTGATTTCATGGGATTTACATTCTTTAGTTTATCGACATTGAGAATAACAATAAAATACGAACACTGTGGTGTTTTTGCGAAGATTAGATAGATTAATCCTCTCCTGTGAAAGGGTGAAAAATGGATACATGGATGGTTGCAGTAGCTGCTGGTGCAGGCTATATAGCCCAACATTTTAGAAAATGTAAACAAACTGGTGAACAAATTACATCAGAATCACCATCTTTCAACAGTTCTTTTAACGACAAACCCAATTCCCCAAAATACCCTCCCGAAAGACCCAATTCCCCAAAATGGCCCTTCCGCAGGTCAACAAAGAAACAAGATGATTCCAAAGTTAAAAGTGAAGTTTCTCAAGGTGTTTCTATTTCTACTACAGAAGTAACTTCTACTAGCGTAAATGGTGTAATTTCAAACAATTGTGAGGGCAATAATGTCTTTTCACCATCAACCATGTTCCCTCGTTTTGTTGGCAGTGATAATAGGGTAAGTGAAGAAACCATGGGTACTCCTAGAAGTAGAATGCTATTAAGAAATCGAAGAGCCATTAAACCTTTAACCTCATTGGAAAGCTGTGTCATGGCTCAGTTACACACTCCATTTGCTTCACCTTCTTCAAAGACCACAAGACCATTTCTAGTGACTGATGGCAATAAAGTAATTAACAGGTCAAGTGGGGTTACTTTTCTTGGGTCTTCAGGGATTAAACAAAATGATTCAGATGCAATGCTACATGTCTGTATTGGGATGTCTTTTGGCATATTGTATTCTTTCATGACAAATAGACACGAGATTGAAAAACTGAATCGGTTGTTGAAACAAACTGAAAGTTTAGTTCAAGATCTTGAAGAAGAGATTGAGATGAAAGATTCGTTAGTCATGCAAGAACTTACAATTGATGATCATAAATCTCAAAGAACAGATGATGGATATAATAATTTGGAGGAATTAACAGATATTAATAACAAAGAATCTGTTATTCAGAAGACAAAGGATGAATCTTTTGGTGAAATTGAAGCAGAGCTTGAAGCTGAACTTGAAATGCTTGAATTGAATATGACTTCTTCCACCTTAGAAAGAAGGATTAGTGATCTTTTTGAGGTAACCACTTCACATACATAAACATATTGCATTTGCACATTTTCAATTCACATATTTGTAATCATTGTTTGTTCTTTCATATTATAGTGTTGATGATGTTTCTTGTATTTCTTTTATTTGTATTAAATTTGAATAAACTTTTTGCAGGTTGATCCAGATTTTGAGCCAGATGTGGCTAAGGGTGAGTTAAGGGCTGACATGGCGATGGATAAGAGGAATGAAGATGAAAGTGGAAGCAGAAGCACCAATGGAAGTCCTCCATGTGCAAACTATGCAGTTTCACCTAGAGAATTAAGCTTAAGGTTACATGAAGTCCTTCAATGGCAGCTTGAAGAACGTATCAGAGAATTAGAAGCAGAGATTGAAAGGAAAAACACCCAAAATCACAAATCTTGGAAAGAACATTTGTCAAGCAGTGATGAAAACCCTAACCCTGATGTTGATGTTGAGCCTGTTGTTTTGAATTTATCGGGTGAGGCTTTAGATGCTTATAACGAAGCTTGTAGTGAGTTTGCAAAGTTTGATGATGATTCAGATGAAGAAGAAGATGAAGATGTTGGAACACCAATCATCAATGGAGGTTCACAAGATGATAATGATGATGATGAGGATGAAATGGAGAAGCTCTTGATAAAACATATTGTGGAGAAAGCAAGACAAGGGTCTCCTATGGTTTTAAATGCACAAAGGGCCTTGTTTTCTGAATAAAACTTGGAACTTATAATTTTGTTTGTATTCAACTTGTTATATATAGAAAGAGGTTAATGATAGCATTCTTTTTGACATGGACTAGTTTTTCTTTTATAAACAAAAGGGTTAATGATATGAGGTTTTGTTTGATTGCAATTGTTTCGGACAACTTTTTCTTCTATTTTTTATTATTAAAAATAGTTTGTTCATTAAATATTAAGTTAAAAAGTGTAATACACATGTGACTAATGTCGTTTTTTCTTTGTTATAAAGATAATTAGATAAACAATCATTTAACCTAATTATACTATTCATATAAAACAAAAATATAAAATATTTTTAGTTATTCATCAAACCGCACTGCAACGTTGCATGACACGGTTTAGAATATGTGGTGCGGTTGTGGTTTTCGAAAATCTTAAACTGCGGTTGTGTGGTGTGGGTTGTGATCTTAACTCTAAACTACACTGAGCACACCTGACATATTCTTTGATTTGTTGGTTTGATGTAGTGTCAATGAGTTTTTTACTTATAGTATCTTTACCATAAGAAACAATGTGTATAGAAATATACATCCTTATATATGATACGCATAATAAACATTCTAATATTTAACATTATATTTAAAATTTTAATATATTTTAATAAGTTTAGATCTCATTTGAAAAAAAAAATGTAATTGCAAAAAATAGTATTTGGTGATTTTTTTTTTTTTTTTTAATTTGACATTTTGATTTAGGTTTTATATTTAAAAATTTCAACTATTTAGAAAAATATGTTTTGAAATATATATAAGTTTATTTGGAATTTTTATTTTTGCTTTGAATTTAATACCATATTTAAGTTGACAAACTTAATGTATTAAATTAATAACTACAAAATAAGGTTTCAAAATAAAAAATTAAATAAATTAAATTTATATTTCAATTTTAATATCATATTTAAATTAACAAATTAAGTATATATTATTATTGTTAAAAAGATATATTATTATTGAAATTGAAAAATTAATATTAAAATTAGAATAGTAATAGATTTAATGTATTAAATTTAAAAAAAATTAGAAAGTTTTCCAAATCCCCTTTATGTTCATATCTACACCTTTATGTTCATCTCATATGGCTTTTCATTTAACGTTTATGTTTGTTAAACTAATGTTCATCCGCTTGCTTAAGTTTTATTATTCATTTGTTTGTTTATTATGTTCGCTAAACATCATGATAGATAAACATAACAGAACATAGTGATTTATAAACCAAACAAACGCCAAAATTCATCAAATACACATACAATTAAACCTTAAACAAAATGTTATTTGCTCAAATAGAGGAATCAATCTTTATGTCCATCCTATTAAACCATAAGAACACTAATTGCTCTTCAAACACATAAATAAAGTTCGACCCGATTGAAACCACAATAGTCAAAAGTTTACATTGCACCTTCAATAAATAAACACTTGGAAAAAAGAAAAAAAAGAAAAGACTATCATAATAAGCTGCAAACAGCATCAGTCCACTTGAAAAAATTAAAAACTCAGCCCACAGACACATAAATAAATTAAGCCCTTTTGGCAAAATCATCAGGCTCATCATTGTTCCCATAGCCTCCTTCTACCGGACCACCACTTCCATAAGCATCACCACCACCAGCCGCCTGCTGACTCTCACCCCCAAATCCCCCTCCAACACTACCACCTCCATACCCACCATCACCACCAGAACCATAACTATTACCACCATAACCACCACCACTACCACCATAACCACCACCACCACCACCACCATAACCACCACCTCCATAGCCACCACCGTAACCCCCACTTCCACCTCCACCATAACCACCACCTCCCCGGAAACCACCACCACCTTGTGGTCTATCGTTGGCATAATTCACTCTCACCATTCTACCATGCAACTCCTGCAAAATTGGTAAGTTCTCATGTCAAAATTACTGATTTCTCATTTATCATTACCAATAAAGTAAATAGGTGGAAAGAGAAATGACAAAAATACCCTTTGATCCATTGCTTGGACTGCAGCAGAAGCAGCCTCAGTATCGCCAAAAGTAACAAAGCCAAAACCTCTTGAACGACCAGTTTCTCTATCCATGATCACTCTAGCTGTTTCACATCATAAAAACCAACCAATGAGAATTTTATCACAAATATTAAAACAAAATTCAACATGCATCTTGTTATAATAGTTTATATTAACATTTTTTTAACCTTCATGGACTTCACCATATGGGCTAAAAGCTTCTTTCAAGCTCTGATCATCTGTAGCCCATGCCAATCCTACAACAAGAATGACATACATTACTATAAATACACAAAACCTTTTGAATTCAGTAGAAAAATCACATTAATTTCTTGTGTAATTTGATATTACCTCCTACAAAGACTTTGGAACTTGACATGCATCTTATCATTTGAAAGATTGATGGAGTAGCTGCTGACATTTGAGGATTAATATGTTTACTTGCAGCAGCCTGTCGTAGTATACTACTAGCTCTGTTGAAGAAAGCCATTGTTGTATCTTGTAAACCTAAAATACAGACATTTCGGGGTTTAGAAAGTGAAATCCATGGTTCAATTTAACAAATATATATATTTAACGTTTGTTTCATATCGAGTAACTTGTAAACAAACGCAATCAACTGAAACATATTGCTAGAAACCAAATCCAATAATCAATTAAAAAAAGAATCCTAAAGCAAAAATCTTGTACGTCGATGTAAAATATAGAATCCAAAGAGTCCGTTTTATCGAAAAAATTCAGCTTTTATACATTTTTCTTTCTGAATCGACACGTATTTTTATTTTCGATCATAGCTTATCGCTAATTAAACCAGTTACCGGAAGCAAATTAGACCAAAATACAAATTAGAAAATAAAACGATCAGACGTATAGCTTCACAGAACAGTTAAACTTGATCAAGAAACGCTACGATAAACTCAAAAGAGGACCTTGATCGAAAATAATGGTGAACATATAAATCAGACACAAGTATGCGATAAATTAACATTCACCAAAAGCTCGATTGATCTCAACAAGGTCTCAGTAATGAAAAGAAACTAGAGAAGGAGTACCTCGGGAACGCTGATCTTTCAGAGAGGGCGTTGATGAATAAAACCCTAGACGAGGGCTTTTTGGCTTATGCAGCTGATAACGAGGGTTTATGAGATTTTTTCGGTGGTATTCCTATTTATCGAGGGTTGAATCGGTATAAACCGTTGGATCGTATTCGGGGAAGCTTACGCCGTCGATTGACGTAGAAAATGTTTGCACCATAAATTTTGTACAACACCGCTTCTAAACTTGATATTTTTGTAGATATTAGGATTTAGGAGTATTATTTTCAGATTATAGATTTATTTTATTGAGTTGATGTTGATTTTCCCTATATATTAAACATATTAAGCATAAAAAATAATTTAATCTTTTGAAAATATTTTTAAGGGTTTAATTTTAGGTTTGGATTGTCGGTTTATTTGAAACCTTTATGAGTTGACATACATAGCAATTATTAGGTTTTTAGGTTCAACATTAGTATTTTGATATATATTAAGGTTGGAAGATTTTAGATTGTGTTTGTTTTTTAAAATGTAAAATATATATATGAACCAAATGAGAAGTACTAATCACTAATCGCATATCGGCTAATATAGGTGAACCATATTAAGTGGAAAGAGATTATGGAAAGTAAGATTCAATCAATGTATGATAACCAAGTTTGGAATTTGGATGATCATACACATGTATTTAAAAGCGTTTTGGTGCAGGTGGATCTTCAAGAAGAAGATCGATATAGATGAGAATTAGCACACATTTAAATCAAGGTTGGTTGCGAAGGGTTACACTCAGATTTAAAGCATTGACTATGATAAAAACCTTCTCGTCGGTAACCAAAATTAAATCTATTAGAATATTACTTGTCATAGTTGTTGTAACGCCCACATATTTGGGCTAAACAATTAAGATATAATAAGCGATAAAAAAATAACATTTTGATAGAATATTATTTAGGATAAATAATCTTAATCAAAGTTATAGTATATGTGACAAGGATTTCGTACATATACAGAACTCTGAAATCCGACTTCGTATGAAGAAGTTATACTTCTTCGAAGTTTCACGATTAAACCAACACGGCTACGCACGTCATAAAAAATGAATTTTAGATATGTTGCTTATAGCCTAACCAATCGAAATGAAATTCGTAGTAAACGTAAAACCGAGACCACACAAATAGAGAACATCTAAATCTGATTTCATATGAAGAAGTTATGATTTTTCGAAGTTTTAACGCAGCAATGCGGACACAAAAATCGAAATTCAAATCGGTTGATTGTTGGGCAAAACAATCTAAATGAGAGTTGAAGATCTCGTGATTAGGAGTTTGTTGATATAAAGATAGTCAAGACGGAGCCCATATTAATAAGTTATGAATTTCGCACAAACTTTAACAGTCTAAACCGGTCTAAATATGAATTTTAGTTAGAGTGAAAATTAGCAGTTGAGACCTTAATGAAAGTTGTAGAGATCTTCGATAGGATTTTAGGGATATAAATAACATCAAAAACAGATCTCGTATACGAATGTTTTGGCCATTCGAAGATCAGCCAAAATTTACTTGGGTTGATGAAGTGGCACCACCTGGTGGCACCACGTGACCGACTCCTCCAAGAGACTGTAACGACCCAAATTTTCCAATAAATTTTTCCATTTTTAATTAACAAAATTTTTTCCAATAAACATAAAATACCAATCACAATTGTTTTCAAAATCCACAGTATCAAACATTTTATTCATAATATCATAATGTCCCAAAATAAAATCGTCGGAGAGTACATGTCGTGCCATCAAGTCAACTGAAATACATAAAACAACCAACAAATTGCAAGCTAATGCTTAGTGAGTTCCCCTAGAGCATACCCCACACACAATCCACATAATCACATAATCCATATTAGCTTTATAAGTTGCACATACCACATAAGTCATGTATACATACATATAGGATGCCATGGAAACCCTCCAAGGTCTTATACCAAGTGCCACTGGAACCCCCACGTGGTCTTAGCCCACTGCCATGGGAACCCATCAGTTTAGTTCTGACCGGGCCCGACACATAGTCAAAAAAAATCATTGAGGGGCCCAAGATATCGCTTTTAATCCTCTTAGGATAAAAGGAACATATAAACTTCGACATTATATGCTTGTACTAACTACTCATCAAATCATGCACGACACATTTTATAACATCAAGTTACTGATGTGTTTTTATGCCATCAATGCACAACCAACTTGTAGTCAACAACTCATATATCTTGGTTTGAAAATTATATGATATTATCGTCTCACAATTACTCGTGATAAATTCCATGAAGTAATTCAGATGAGTGCGGGTTGAATCTAATACTCAAATCTTATTTCAGGAGCACTCATGAATGGTGTAGCAAACTTTAGCTATGTCTAACTCCTTAGGCAATCTACAAGCCAACTCGTGGCAATTTTCTTTTATACTTACTTCCAATGTATGATCGATTGTGGATAGTTTGAATAATTCTTATTATTCTGGAAGTCAAAACATGCAAAGTGAAACAATAGTAAATAATTGACACAAGACAATAACTTTACTTATAAATAAAACTCCTTTCATTTAATCATCAAATGTCAATTACAATCTAGCTATTACAGATTTCGATTTATCTAGTCACTAAAACTAATATCTTCCATTAGCCCAATGCCTCTTACATGTTGTGTAACATCCAGAATTTCAGGTATGTTATCGTATGGTTGAATTCTTGAGGTTTATGGAGTGACTCGACGAGTTGTGAGTCTAACTCGCCAAGTAGGGTCGAGTTTCCATGTGGGATTTAATGAATAGACTCGACGAGTCGGGAGGCAGACTCACCGAGTTCGTGCTGGGTAGAGAAACCCTAATTTCATGGGGTTGGGGCCTATATAAGGGAACTTATGCCCCCATTTCTACCTCATCAGTTACCCTACACCCCTGAGAGCAAACCCTAATTGTTATTTGAGCTAGAGAGTGAGAGAGAATCTCATATTGTGGTTCTTGTGCATCACTTGAGGAAGAGGATGAGGTTATCAAGCAAGGAGATGGGGGTGAGGCTGTTGGATCCAGTGATTTCTTGTCCAGAGCTTTTGAGGAAGGTATGAAGTCTTCACCTTTCTTCTTATTTTGGATAGATCTCATATCTATGGAGTTTTAGGGCTTTTTGCCATCTTTTGTTTGGGTTTTTGAGTAGCATGAGTTATCAAAGAGTCTAGACCTCAGATCTGGACCTCGTGAGGTCCTTAGAGTCTAGGTGTCCCAACTTTATTCATCCATAGGAGGGTTTTGGGCTTAATCATTCATGAAGGGCATGTATTAGCATTTGTGGAGCAATAACATCATGCATGAACGTAAAGAACGAAGCTTTACATGACTATTGAGCCTTGAGATGACCGATCTAGTGTTTGGAGTGATAGATCTGTTTTAAATCGTCTGAATGAGCTTTGGGTATGAATTAACTCGACGAGTTGGTTAGGGTTTGTCTGGAAGAGATGAATAGTGTGATGGCTCAGCGAGTTGGAGGTCATCTTGACGAGCTGAGTTAGTCCGAGATTCGTGTGCGAGGATGCTTGCTTGCTGTCGAGGTGAGTTTGCTCACTGTACTTTACCTAGAGTGGTAATTTTTGTGTGACCGGAGGGTCTTATGTGTTTATTGAGCTATGTGATATTATGCATCTTGTCTGTGTGATATATATATATATATATATATATATATATATATATATATATATATATATATATATATTATGTATTGTTGAGACCGGACCAGAGGGTCCAACGAGCAGTGAGACCAGAGGATCCTCACAGAGACTGGGTCAGAGGGTCCAACGAGCCGTGGGACTGGAGGGTCCCACTGAGACACATTAACTGGAGGGTCATATAGAGTTATAGCCTCAAGTGGCTAATTATTTTGTGCGTGGTATTTTGGGGAACTCACTAAGCTTCGTGCTTATTATGTTATGTGTTATGTGTTTCAGGTTTTCTCAGGACCGCAGGAAGGCACCGACTTGATTGTACACACCAGTGAAAGAGTTATGATTTGAAGATCTTGGATTTTAATCAAACAATTATGGAGTTGTGAATTGTAAATTAAATAAATGATATTTATGTGAAATGTGTTATGAGAAATATGCGATCTCACATGATTTTTTTTTTTTGAAAATTTACGGTGTTACATGCTGCAAGTGCTTAACCCTAGTCAATCCCTTTGTAAGGGGATCTGTTGGGTTTTCTTCTGACGATATCCTCTTCACCAGGAGGTGTCCTTCTTCTACTTGATGTCTTATGAAGAGGTATGTTATGTCGATATGCCTGGATCTACCATGATCTCTCGGTTCCTTGGTTAAGGCAACCGTCCCTTCATTATCGCAGAATATCTTTACAAGCTCTTTTGTGGATGGAATGACTCCAAGGTCTCCGATGAAGTTTTTCAACCATATCGCCTCCTTCGCCGCTTCGCTTGCTGCCATGTACTCTGATGCACACGTTGAATCAGCTACAGTCTCCTGTTTGGAACTTTTCCATGGCATTGCTCCTCCATTCAGGGTAAACACCCAACCCGACTCAGAGCGAAAATTATCTCTGTCGATTTGATAGTTGGCGTCACTATACCCTGTCACTCTCAAGTCATCACTCCCACAGAGGGTAAGGACCCATTCCTTAGTTCTCCGTAGGTACTTAAGAATGTTCTTAACTGCAGTCCAATGAGCTTTACCAGTATTCCCTTGATATCTGTTGACCATGCTCAAATCAAAGGCCACATCAGGACGAGTACAAGTCATAGCATACATGATCGACCCAACTGCAGAAGCATATGGTATATGACTCATCTCTATTATCTCATCCTCTGTACTCGGACTGTGAGTCTTACTTAGTTTGGTATTGCTTTGGATAGGCAAGTCGCCTTTCTTGGACTCCTCCATGCAGAAAAACGTTTCAACACCTTATCCAAGTAGGTAGTTTGACTAAGTCCTATTGGTCTTTTACTCATGTTTCTCATTATCCTTATCCATAGAATATAAGTAGCTTCTCTGAGGTTCTTCATAGCGAAACACTTGCCAAGCCAGGACTTAACCTCCTACAAGGTTGGGATGTCGTTTCCTATGAGCAGTATGTCGTCTACATACAATACCAGAAAGCTCACTATACTCCCACTAATTTTGACATATACACAGGACTCATCCTCGCTTCTCGAAAATCCAAACTCTTTGACTTTCTCATCAAAACAAAGATTCCATCTGCGAGATGCTTGTTTTAATCCATAAATGGATTTCTTAAGCTTACACACTCTATTAGGGTACTTTGCATTGACAAAACCCTCTGACTGAATCATGTAAACATCGTCAACCAACTTTCCATTAAGGAAAACGGTTTTGAAATCCATTTTCCATATTTAATAGTCATGAAATGCAACTATGGCCAACATAGCCCTTATAGATTTAATCTTTGCTATTGGTGAGAAGGTCTCATCATAGTCAACTCCATGAGTTTGAGTAAAGCCCTTCGCAACCAGTCGTGCCTTATACGTGTGTACTTTCCCATCCATGTCGGTCTTCTTCTTGAAGATCCATTTGCACCCGACTGTCTTACAACCCGATACATTGTCAACCAAGTTCCAAACTTGATTTCCATACATGGACTGAATATCGTTGTCCATATCCTCTTTCCATTTTGCAGACTCAGGGACTGCCATGGCTTCCTTGTAGTTGTTAGGTTCATCCAGATTTATCAGTGTGCTATCACTAATAAATGTGTCATCCTCAGATGTTATATGAAAACCATATAACACGGGTGGAACACTAACTCTACCAGACCGCCTTAGAGGTACGGACTTGTCAATTGGCTCAACCGAAGTTTCCTCCTCGGGTTAAGTGCTAGTGTTTGAGGTTCCTTCACCGCTTGACTCTTGAAGCTCTTCAAGGTCAATTTGACTTCCACTGTCCTCTTGGCATATGAGTTCTCTCTCGCAAAAGACTCCTCTCCTTGCAACGAAGACAACATTGTCACTCGTCTATAAAAGAGATATCAAAAGGACTTCTGCGGGTAGCCGATGAAAATACATTGCTTACTCCAAGGTTTGAGCTTCTCGTGAGTGTTGCGTCTCACGAAAGCCTCACAACCCCAAAATTTGATATGGTATAACGAGGGAACCTTCATTGTCCACATCTCGTGAGGTGTTTTGGAAACCCTTTTGGTAGGGAATAGATTAAGGATGGGCGGCAGTCTCTAAGGAATACCCCCAGAATGAGATAGGTAATGAAGCTCAACTCATCATGGAACGAACCATGTCTAGCAAGGTTCTATTACGCCTCTCAGCCACACCATTAAGTTGTGGTGTCCTAGATGGCATCGATTTTGAAACAATTCCACATTCCTTAAGATAGTCAAGGAACTCGATACTAAGATACTTTCCTCCTCGATTGGATCGCAACATCTTTATCTTCTTGCCCAATTGATTCTCCACTTCTTGCTTAAACTCCTTGAACATTTCAAAAGTTTCTGACTTATGTTTGATTTAGACATAGCCATACCTATTGTAATCATCAGTAAAAGTCATATAAAAGTGGTTAGCATCCTGTGTGTAGCGGTTCTGAATGGTCCATACACATTAGTGTTTATGAGATCCAACAAACCTTCACCCCTTTCAT